TTGCCGACTACATAGATCGAGCAATGGCAAGATACGATATATTTGACAGCTGAGCATCACTCCATGAGCAGATCAAGCTTGGTCATACTAGCCAAGATGGAATATCAGTCGAACATCAAATCTTTACCGAGGAGTGTGATCAAAACAACACTATCGTGTGGTACAAGGCACGACTTGTCGCACAGTGCTTATTATCAAAACTTCATAATCAAATTCTTTGAGACTTCTACCTCGGTTGCCAACTTGAATTCAATCCGGAATTTACTTGCGGTGTATGCTGAATGCGACCATCAAATGGAACAGCTGGAAGTCGATACTGCTTGTCTCGCCAGTGTGCTGAAGACAACGGTGTTGAGAGTGCTCACCGAGAGGTGTGACAACCAACAAGAATATCAACGGATTGAAGCAAGCACCATTGTCCTAACCTAAGATTTGAACACTTTTGCGAAAAATGACTTTGATTGCTGCGAGGAGGGGTCCAGTTTGTTTATGTCAAGTAATGCATGGAGATTATCGCAACAATAACAAGCAAGGGGGTCATCAGGCCAAAATGTGCCTAAAAATCATTTTACAATGAAGGCTCTGGGCAAGGTAAATTTTTTTTGCTCATGAGTTTTGACCTCGATAAATCGACTAAAGCACTTAAAATCAACCGAAATCGCTATCTCAACGACGTGGTCAAGCGTTTTAGTCAATAAGATGCCAGGTGTGTGAACAATTCGTGCGATCAGGATCGAAGCTGTCGTCAACGCAGTCGCCAACAACGTAAGGGTAATTTGGCGGTGAGTAAAGCCGTAGTGAACCTTGATGGTTTTCGCTTTACATCACGATATGTGATTGACTGGATGTCGCATATGGAAGATACCAACTGTCAAGCAACCGCTTGCAACGCAGCCTAAAGACTATATGCCGAACCAGTATCGTCTACCAAGGTAGTAGTATGACATAATTTGATGCTGATGACATATGTTGATGCTAGTACTTACGGTCATGATTGCAGCCGCCAATTTCAAAGTCAAAGTATAGCGGATGGTTGCACTCAGCTCGCCGGAGGCTAAGCTTGCGGCTTCAGCCTTTGAACTCAAGAAGTTCGTTGTACGTGTGCGATGGTTCAGGAGATGGACCACGAGCAAGTTGTAGGCTCACAGGTTTGGAAAGACAGCCAAGGAGCAGTTGCCTTGGCCAACCACACCGGATTCCACACTCGGACGAAGCACGCAGCATTAAGCACGGCTTCATCTGCGAGAGCGTGCATGAAGGAATCTTGGAGATCGTCTACATAAACTCGATGCGTCAGGTTTTGGATATGCTGACGAAGGCACTCGGCACTAAGACGCTTACTTTATTACGCGAGGCAGGTAAAAAGACCAATCTAGTGCCAGAGAGCATCAAACATGTACGGCGAGTGAGAGTGTTGAGATGCACCGCTTGATACTGTTTTGACCGATGTGCAGCTAATTCTTTTTTTTAATACATAAGCGCTACATTTTACAGAAACAAGCCCGGATTAGCCTAGCGATAAAGTTGTAGTGTCTCTGCTTTCTCGATTGAGTATTCCTTGAATTACAAAGTTTAATTACGCGACCTGTTTACACAGTGTTAAGAGTACAGCATTACAGTAGAATAATTACTCAGTGTTAAGGGTTCACTGTGGGACCCCTCGTATTTTTTTTTATCGTTTACAGACCAGATAGTACATCATTAATTTGGCAAAAATGCAGCAAAGTTAGGGCGAAAACAGGAACATGATAAACTTGTTTACTTCATGTTTACCCACCCACATATCAACCCACTCTATGGATCGCACCATCGTCGCAAACTGACACATTGCTTGTGTATATTTAGTGAGAAACTGTCAGATGCCTTCGAGGATCCGATTATAAGGCTGAAGGGCGGCAAGTCTTCTATGTGGGAGAGTGCGTTGTGCTATGCATGTCTTATCACTTACGCTGGATACAAAGAGAGCACTTTCAAGCTTAAAGTTGTGAACGTAGAGGAAAAGGAATCGACGTTAATTTGAACTGCATGCTGCGCGGTCAATTTTTTATATTGCATATCTCGGCTCCTGATGCAAACTTTGATGAACATTGGTGTAGGTATCGTTCTGAACCATCATGGTTCGACAGCGCGAGCAAATATCTTGTTTACGTGTCAACTGAATATTCTTTTGCCTACGCTGTTTAAATTTTGGGATAAAGACGAAAGCGTAGGCCTAAATTTGTTACAAGGCTTTTGCGTGGTGATCAAACAGTCTAATGCGACTTCTGTAGAAGCTCGATAAGGACAAAATAGAGTTTACCACCATGGGCTGTTGAGCATGTGCAAGTATAATAAATAATAGGGGGCTCCGAGAATGATTAGACCCCAGTCAACATTAAAAAAAAATGTTTCTGCACTGGTGCAAAGAATATGCTCCGTCTAGCAGAAAATATATAGAGTGGACGCCGATATCAGATTCATGTCACTGGACATGCGTTCATTGTGGCAAAAGAAGCAACGGTGGTACTAGTTGCCTCTGGCAACTACAATGGGACGGACTCCTTACGATACTACGGGACTCTTTTTGAGTAGATTCAGGAAATAAGTCTGGATCGTCCTGAGGGTTCGATGAGTAATAGACAAGGCAGTTGCAACTAAGGTACAGTGCTTTCGATTCAATTAGGAAATATCAAACTAAATTGACTCGAAAATCGTTCCACAACAGCTCCTAAGTAAAAGTGTGATATCTTGACTCATTAAAGGGTAACACGCTAGCTCTTGGCGCCGCAGCTTCTCATCCATGTTGCCGGGCTGGTGAGGTCACGCCATTGGATTGCGCATATTCGAAACCACTACAGTAAATTCTTTTGTAGGTTTAAGAAAAACTCATAGGATTTTACCCAATGGACTTGCAATTTTGCGTCACACGTTGTCCCTCGTGAGGTCCTGAGTAAAATCCCTACATGCCGGTTCCGTTTGAAGGATGATTCTACAGAAAGGCTGGGTGAAAGAGCATTTTTCTAGATTCGAGACTAATTTTCGTTGCCGACTCGCCTGATCGAGATTATTAAGACATAAAAGTTGGAAATGTATACGTGATGCTGATTACTGCTCCACAAGAACTACACCAATGTGGTAGTGGATCCAATTATCGCTAAACGTCACATACGCATTGGTCCCTGACTCATCAAAATACAGCTATATTTGTAATGTGGCTGTTCTCTTATCCACAGATACGACATAAATGCGGCCCCATCAGATGCGCTCGTAATCGAGTAAATAAATTTCCTAGAATCAGTGTGATCAACAACTTAAATTATGGCGAACTTGGGCTTCGTTTTCGTGTATCAAATGCTGTCAACCATAAAAATAATACTGTGTACGTCTCGTCTCAGGTCAGAGATTGTAGGATCCCATTTCTTACTTCAAAATTTATGGTAAATCAGGTCAAAAGAACCGCATAGTGGCAAAACTAGTCATTTTTGACCTAATCTATCCAGTTTATGGTGCGTACAATTGCACAATCCGGGTGTTTGCGAAGTTGAATTATGAGATGCTTTCATCAGATATTCTTGCGCACATACAGGCCATGCAGAAAACCTAATATTTGAACCCGCACTGAGTTTGATAGTGCCGGTGTATAAAAAACGCTTTTCTTACAAAAATGAATACGTATTTGTCCAAGGTAGGAAGATGAATGGCGCTGACAAGTGTCTCATTTCCTTATATAAGACTTAGCAAGCAATGTCGTTGTAAATACATATAAGGTATACATACATTGAGTTAACTTTGCTAGAAACAAATTATATGATATAATTGTGTTTACGATCGAAGCTTTGATAGGCAGTTTCAACGAAAGGGATTGGAAAACACTATCGTTTTTTGTTTAACTCACACGTTTTGCGAGCATTGATTTGACATAGCTCAATGACATAGTAAAGTACAACCAAATTGAGATGTGAGTGCGTGTAAATTTGAGCCACAACATGCGGTTAGTACACTTAGTTTGCGATTGAGAAGGAAGTGCAGGGATCGCAGGTGCTGATTTAAGCAAATGAAGTAGTCCAACTGACGAAGTGCGTGTTTATTGGTTCTGCTGATGCGATGAGTACTGCAAGAAAAGTCTTCCAATAGCCTACAACAACATCGACATATTTGCACGTCAAGATGAAACCGAGGAAGTGACTGGACTTGCTACTCTCTTCCCTTGACGTTGATGAGTATCCAACGCCAAATAGTCCTATTTCATACCATAATATTAAGAATAGTGTGAGTTTGAGGCTGTATAAAGAACTAAACATCCTTAATACTGCTAAATTAATATTCTAGCTGGGTGAATCCGTGGTCAAAATACACTACGATAAGCTGAAGTTTGAGGCCTTTTGAAATCGATCTTATAATGTTATTCTGGCATGCTTAGGACAACATTAATAAAGTGGTCAAGTCAGCTAAGTACCAACAGTTCTCTAAAGTAAAGCCAAGAACTCAATTTTTTAGACTGCGAGCAAAGTGCTTCTTCATCTTTAGCTGATAACTAACTACCTGCCGCATAACTTGCATGTGCAATCGTTAAGCAACGTTTGAAAATAACATTTCGTGACGACGGTCCTATCATATACGGACAGACCAAATAATCAAAATCAAGAAGCTTTGCAATTAAGTAATGGTGAAATATCTCACTTCATCTGCGCTTCCTTTGCGCAGATGAGTTCTATTTTATTATGGCGAGTAATCATTTGCCAATCACCTTTTTAACATGAGTTAGATGATGAACGTTTTTGCATTGCGTGCGATCGGCGACACCAAAATCACGATAAGTGGACGAAGATATGCAAATTTGTTTAAAATACATGTACTTCATATTTCACGAAGAAAACGCTTTACAATGCGTTGCCACATCGTTAAAAGGGATATTGGGTACAAGATATTATGTCGGACAATGGCCGTCTCGCGGTGGTCTAAATTGTGTAAGGAAGTGAAAGCAGTTTTGAGCTTTCGCGGCCGTTAAATAGTTGATGAAGTCAGAGCGAGAGCAATGTCGACGCGGAGAAGCAACAGCTCGCCCCCACAGCGAGCAGGTCAAAGTCTAGTTCTGGATACAGCTTGTCGATCCAGGCAAGAGGTGCTTCGTCGTCCGAGGGGTGGCTCTTTACGGGCGTTGCGACCTCCACAGCCATCAAGGGTTCGACATGCCTCGAAAGCTGGACGTCAGGAGCAGATAAGGAGAGCCTTTCCTCCGGTAGCTTATCATTTGCAGACAACAGCGCACGCTTTCGAGTGATACGCCACGTCAAAGCTGGTTGATCGCGCTGAAAAAACTTATTCGAGAACGTGCACACGACAGCACGGGACTTGGTCCACTTGCGAAAGTGAAAATAGTTGAGTTGACGTTGGAAGCTGGCATACTTGCAGTGTTTGAAATATTTGGGTAAGATGTCACTGGTCATGGCAGCCATGTCATGGATTTCAAAGGCATTGCCGTCGGGCGTCCAACGCAAAATGCGTGGGCTCTCTATGTCTAGCATGCGACGGAGACTCTTGAGAAATGGTGCCACTTCCTTAGCGTTCATGCCATCAGAAGAATTCGGTGATAGATGCTGTGCTCGCGACATGATCTGGCGCGACTGTAGCGTTGTCAACTAGTCAACAGGACAGCCGACTTAAATGAATCTGTGCGCTTTGTGTAGCAGAATTGAAAGTGAAGCGAGTCCCGGGTGCCGAGATTTCAGCTTCCGAAAGGTCCTGTCTCTTGAATGATGGTTGAGAGACGAGAGCGACTGATGTGATGATGGCAGTGCAGTTGCAGGGTATCCCGCTGTGCTGGGCAGCGAATTGACAACATTATACTGTAAATGCAACATTTGCAAGTTGAAGGGTTTTAACCACACAGTGTTTAATGCACGCCATCGCTCAACAGTCAATTGTGGTAGTGGCTGGCCTTTGACAGTTCTTACTCTATCCGCGACCTTCACGATTTAAGAACGAGGTCAATACATACACACACTTCTGATTGCATTAAAATCGACAAGAACGTCGCGACAAACAACCACTCGATCATCTTAAAAATTGAAAGAGGCGGTATTTTTAAGATCTCTCACAAGAGATAGGTAGATGCTCGTCCACACATGACTAATGCTTGCCGTCAGAATATTTAGCATACCATACGTGTGCTTGTACTACTTAGGCTCATCGTGACGTCACATGCCGCCTCAACCATAAATGCTTATTCGTGTTGGGACGTTACCGTTGATGGGACCACAGAACGCAGTTCGTCATTCCGAATGTTTCTTTTACTTCTTGGCAAGGTTCTCGAGGCCTCGTCCTGCATCCCAGAATTCGAACCACTCACTCTGAACGAGAGACGAGAGGGTCTCCAGATGCTTTTCGATTTTGCGTGTGGACACGAAATCTATACGGATCACAGCACATGGAAACGTTCTGTTAACATTGCTTATGAGAATTTTCGGTGAGGCACCGGCAGTACTGAATGGGCTTCAATCACAATCAGTTTATGCACTAAAGAGACCTTGAACCATCTCGTGTGTGTGATGATGTATTGCGTTGTACATGGCTAAAAGTGGCAGTTAACTCAAGCTAATATATGCTAATTTATAAAGATAAAAAGTTACTGTGATTACCCTCGTAGACGTATTCATTGTCTTGTAATCCGGCGTAGCGTGCCCGTTGGAACAGCCTAGATTCGGAAGGAATGTGCGGCACGCACGTAAGCGGGCCATATGATGCATGTACTTTATTCATGTAAAATAGGCGTACTGCAAGTTTGCAAAGACATTAATGTTATACTTCTAAATAATTTGGTTCTCCAAGGCCTTAAAAACTTTCGGTACAATTGCAAATATAAAATGACAGGTACCCTCTGGGATAACCCAAAGCCTAGCAAAAAGGTCGAATCCAATTGGGGCTGCGTCGTCAATAGGGGGAGACTGTGGTTTGGAGCACATTGTATGACAGTCGAATCTTTTGGCTGGACGCGTAACGACCAGCGTAATTTTTTTTATTTTTGCGATATTCTGCTTCATCAAACATTTCGTTTTGATAAGTAGACTAAGTGGTTTGTGCGTTGACCTGTGCCATCGATAATTAGTGCTCATAAGCAATTTCGAACAATAAGCAGAAAGCTCATCTTCCCAGAGTGAAGTTCGGTTGGCGGTGTACAAATTATCAGTCAGATGTAACGGATACCTCGAATCAGTTCGTCTTACAAACATCGTCTTTTTTGCCGTATACGTTTTATGATACCACTGAACGAAAAAGGATTGCTGGATGGTATGCTATCGCAGTTTATTAGGTTTATTTGTCCGTGCCTATCATGCCCCCGCTGATTTGGTTACATAGAAAAAAATCTGGTAGTATTGTTTGTGTAATGAAGGAGAGGGGAAAGCTACCTGCACACGAAATTTGACGAGTTTCTCGTCTTTAGAGTCATCGCTGCAGGGGGGATTAAGTATCGAGTATTATTGTACGTCATTCATTCCGGATCGCTGTCATCTGGTTGCATACGTCCGTGTGAGCCAACCCATTCGCTCTATCTACAGTCTCCGTCTCCTACATTTCAATATTATATGTAACCGTCGAACAGTAAAATGTTAGCTATCCAGCCCAAACAGTTAAACATCAAGATTTCTTTCTCCGCATTGTCGCCGTATGAGTCACAGCGAGCATTCGCGACACCAAAACGTACAGACGAGGATGTACATTGGCTTTCATAAAGCTTACTTCGGCTTTTGCTGTCCAAAAAAATAGGCCTCTTCGACATTGAGTGTCGCTCTCGTGCAGCGACAAACCTGTCCCTAAAGGTATACAGCGTTATCTGCCGTGAAAAGGTTATTCTCGGAGGTTGCAACTGTTTTGGACTAGTAGTTTGCCAAGCGAATGATACTGGCGACGATGGGATTCCCGGTGCACTTGCGGAAGGTCTACACTGAGTTGGTGATGGCCGAGACGTGAATGCCTGAACGACATGTTGGCGTTAGGCTTGAGGTACCAGGTGAAGATTCGGTCTGCTATACATACCAAGCTCTACTAGCAGAATTGCGATATAAAGCAGTGTTTTAGCGACTCAACGACTCCATGTGTGTAGCCGGGCTGCCGTAGCTGTTTCGCTTATTGGAAGCTAAGCTAAGGTCGGTGACCTTCGTTCTATACTTAGAACCCGTACGAGTATAGCGGATCTCAATCCGCTTGCTCCAAGAGTAACCACAACCTTAACCCAAGGCAAATGAACTCTACCGTACAAAACGTAAATTGCATTAAAGCTGCCTATACCTAAATTTATTCGTTTTCCCAATTAAATAGTAAAGCCTGGTTAAAATGCATTACTTCTGGCAGTCCAGCCACTTCTTGTTAAGGTGTAGCCACACCATTGTGTTATTACATCGTCTTGTACAAACTCACACCCTTGTATGATCACATCGTCTTGTGTGACCCACCCCTTCATACTTGGGTACGTTTAACAAAGTCACACTCTCCCTCATCAAAATTGTGAACGCATTTAACTGTTGCCTCGTACGAGGCTTGCATGTCTAAGACACCTCTCCACCCCAACACCTACATTATAGGTATTTGGGGATCAAGAGAACGTAAAATTAAAGCTGCTTATTCATTTTTTATATATATACTCTATGAGATTCATTATTTATGTTTATTGCAATTATTCTGCACGTATTCTCTGCTCAATGAGACTGTCTTTATAACTCGAAAGACACCCAGCCTCGCTGGTTCCGAGAACGCCCCCGGGCAGAGCCCTTCTTCGTCTCCTGCACGCGGTGCAACTTCTGACATTATATCTGCAGCTTCAAGAGAAGCGCATCCCAAGTTCTTGACGACCGTGCACCGTGCACCGAGCACCGCACCCGCCATATGCGACGGATACCCTCGTCTAAGATTCGGAGGAAGTCGACTACGAGCTGGATACTTTCTTCCTAGAATGGGAAGAAGGGAAGGCGAGGTGCGCTAGCGGCACGACGCGAGACCTGCTCGAACGTGTCCGTTACCCGACTTCTCGATTTCAGGGGGAAGTAGTACATTACCAATCGTCTCTACGAGGCACAGAAGCAGCTGCTGGAGGCTGCCCGCAGGGCGGCTTCATCCGCTCGCATCTACAGTTGGTCCTAGGCCTTCGTGTAGAATGCGGCTTCCGCTCGGGGGGTCCTGGCGCAGAAGCGAAGGGTGCGATGACTCGATCGTTGGGCGTCTATGTGATCCGGCCCCCGCCGCTACACAAGCTGAGTGTGAACAACGAAATGTACTCCAAGCTCGTACTTAGTTGCCACACGAAATCCCATTTGCTAGTTACCGCGCTCGACTTCGCGCTCAAAGAGGGGGCACTCCTGAATCCGCAATGCGGGCGATTCCTGTGGTGCTAGCCCCCTAGTGCAACCGCTGCAGACGATGAAGCACTCTTTGTTCAGCGGCACCAAAAACTTGCCTCGCTGTCTAACTTACAGCGGAGCCACAAGGAAGTGGACGAGCGCGTACAACACCATCTGCGGTTCGAGGTTGCCAAACTCACGGCGCGTCGCCGACTTCCTTCAGGTTGTCCCCCTGCGACGCGTAAATAAATTGATCACGCTCTTGTGAGCTTTATGGTCTTTCACACAATTAAGTCTGCTGCTGCAACGGCTCAGGGCTTTTGCTTGAGCGCAGCTCATGGCCCTTCGGCTTTCCTGGCTATATTCGAGAAGTGCGGGGCGTACGACAACGCGGAACGTCATCATCCCTCTGATCATAAGCGTTTACGACGTCTGGGCAGCTCTCGAAGTCGGGATATCCCCGCCACTTCAATTTGACCCTGTCGACGATGTCGACCCACAAGACGTACCACGCGGTAGTGGACGCCGCCGGTCTTGTCGAGAAGAATCGGCGGCGGATGATGACGACTTGGACGGTCGCCGTCCGGTGACTCCCGATGCTCTTCGAACTTGAGGACAAACCCGTCTTCATTGACACCCCGCTGAACATCTTGCCGAGGTCGTATACCTTTGTGCGGAAGACCTCAAGAGCTTGGATCACTTTGTGCACCGATTGCCTCACTTTGAGGACTATCGCACTCTGTCAGTGCGGCTCATAGCCATCGAGCAGACGAATGTGTCATTTCGTGCGACGGTGGAGCGCCTGGCGCCGTTAGAAACAGACGTCGTTGCACTCCGTGCTCAAAACCAGTTACCGATTCACCTTCTGGGTGTCCGAGCGCCTTTGGGCGCCGGCCCCGGCGCCAACGCTTACGCGTTCATTTGCACCGGATTCCGGTATGGCTAAAGCAAGACCACATAAAACACAGGGTGGGTGCGAATTCTTTCCGGAAGGTTTGGCATGTACGCAAGGCCTTGCTTGGCCACGAACTGCTAATCGTGGACGAAATTTCGTCTTAAAGACAGCGGAACGGCATGTGTAGGGTGATTTTTGCATTTGATAATATCAGGTCTCCGACTTTAAAGTTTTCAACATTTCTTCTGCTTCTTCCACCTGCATATTCTTTCTGCATGTCTTAGCTTTCAGCCATCACATCGCGAACGCCTCGTAGGACACTCAGTCTGGTAGACAAGGAGTCATCAGCCTACCTACGGACAGTGAGGGGGCAGACATCAGCTAG